GGAACTGGAGGTATCAGCATGATACGTAAATGTATGAGAGTTGTAGCTTGAGTCCAAGTAGAAATTGAATGGATTAATTGAGATGGTGACATGGACGATTAGGAGGAACACATGGATTTTATTTTGGGTGTAAAGGCTGTGTGGCCTTCCAATAGGTAGATATAAGCATGTTGAGATGTTGCTGTTTAATAGGTGGATGGAGACCTGCATCTGGGATTTAGGGGAAATATGAAGATCTGGGATTCCTTAGTGGAGCAGAGGTTGGTAAAGTCTTAGGAGGAATGAAGTCCACTCGGGAGAGCTTCTGTCAGGAAAAGAGAGCCAAAATAAAATACCAGATAATATAGAACTTAGGTCTGTAACTCACTGACCAGAGTCTCTGATTAAATTCAAGAGGAAAAAGAGAAATGTATGCATTAGAGTCAATATGACCTGGTATTAAATTAATCATAAGGGTGGATATATAGGACAGTAGAAAATGAAAATTCCCTACTTCGTGCCTAGTAGTATGCTAAGCTTAGGAAGAAAGAATAGATATGAATATCAATTATTAATAGAAATACAAACTGCATACAATTACATATATATTAGACTGCATACTAATTAGACATTGCTATTGTTAATGATGCTCTTGTTGCCAATAATTTTTTCAACAGTTATGACAGTGGTTAACATTTACCAAATGCTACCTGCTGTGCCTCTGCCTTCAAGGCAAACTCAATCTACTTTAGCCTCTGTTGAGGTCAAGCTGAGAGCTAATAGGAGAAAGGTTACCTCCTCCTCTCCAAATACTTTCTAGTTGGAGTTGTTTTTGAATTCTCTACATTTATCTAATAACAAGCTCTAAGTGTAGTAAGGATCACACCCTGTCTATCTTTGATGCTGTGTATGTTTATATTCTCCTAGAAGCAATTATCAAGTGAGATTAGAAGTACAAGAGTTGTTAGAAAAAAAATCTGTGAAAAGCAGAAGTTGAGGGATAAGCCAGAGACAGCAAAGAGAGCCTTCAGACTGTGACGGAGGTCTGCCCCCCTCCGTGCACAAGAGGGAGAAAGAAGGAAGACTGGGTAGAAACACTTCAGACTAGGTTAGGTAGTCTCGTTGGGGTAGTGGGATTGTAAAGGAAGCATGAATCTAAGAAAGATTTGGTAAGGCTCATGGAGAATCTTTAAACCAAAATTGCCAGTTGGAGGTATCCCATGTTTCAGAAGATTAGGCTCACCTTAGTACCCCCACCATGCTTAGTCATTAGCTAGGAGGAGCCTGTAGAAGTGTGGCCTCAGCATGGATACAGTACTGGATCCAGAGGAGCAGCAGCTGGGGCCATCTGTCTGTAAACATCTCTGCAGTGGGAGATTTGAGTGACATGTGTCATTGCCAACACAGATTCCCTCAGTGACACAGTGACACTTCTTCCTAAGCGTTCTCCTAGCATGTATTGTCCAAATCAGTCAAATAAAGCTCAGCCTGTGCAACTTTGTACCATTATTAATCAATTTGCTTGTGTCTACCCCATTAGATTATAAACCTTTCTTCAAACATTAGTGTCTAGCACCGCGCCCTTAACTCAGAAAGCATTTACATAAATACATTCATCATAATTAGGATTATTTTATTTTCATTATTTGAATTTATCTGAGACCAGGCTGGGCACAGTGGCTCATGCCTGTAATCTCAGCACGTCGGGAGGCTGACGTGGATGGATCACCTGAGGTCAGGAATTCGAGACTAGCCTGGCCAACATGGTGAAACGCAATCTGTACTAAAAATACAAAAATTAACTTGGTGTGGTGGCATGTGCCTATAGTCCCACCTGAGGCTGAGACAGGAGAATTGCTTGAACCTGAAAGGAGGAGGTTGCAGTGAGCCAAGATTGCGCCACTGCACTCCAGGCTGGGTGACAGAGTGAGACTTCATCTAAAATAATAATAATAATTATTATTATTATCTGAGAACAGTAAACAATTGGAGTTTTAACTCAGGAAGTTGGGTGGGGGAAGTTAAGAGAGAATATGGTTTTGATGAGGGGTTCCATGGATATCACAGTGAGCTCTGGGGGAAAGAGAACTAGGGGATGTGAATTAGACATACCCTTGGAGGAAAGCAGAAGTCCAAGTAGGTCCTTGGAGATGAAGTCCAAGTAGGTGGACAGAATGCAGTATCCAGAGAACATGCCGGAAAGAGCTAGTCTAGACCAAGAATTGGCTTAAGGGAGTCCAGCAAGATGTGATGGACAGGCGTTTGACATCGGCATCTGAGCACAGCAACTCTGTGTTTGAGAACTGCCTTCTCTACCCACAGTGACATTTTCATGTACATGACATACCTTCTTAACCTTGGCTCATTGGACTGGGGGAGATGCCTTATCTCAACCTAAACCTCCTGGGAATTTGGCATTGAGGTTTGGAAAATCTTATCAGTTGAACTATTTCCTTGAACTGAGCTGACAAATTAAAGATAAGCTTCTTGAAGACAATTGGGGAAATCATGTATGCTCAGAATCAGGAACACTGGCTGGCAGAAAGGCATACACAGAGAAACTGAGATGAGAGACAGTGTGACTCCAGGGAAAGAGGGAGAATGAAATGGAGTCAGTTGTTGCCTGGACTCCTGAGGACTTTCCATTCATGGGCCTAATCCCCAAGCTCCCTGCCCTTCAATTCTGAGGAAACTAACTCTAGAATAAACTTACTATTTTGGTTAACATAGTTCAAGTGTGTTTCTTATAGTAGCAGCCAACTGACAGTGACTGAGAAACTGTTCTGACAGAAATGCCCAGGACACAAATCGGAAATTCAGCAATGTGAAATGTGCTGAGACGCAGGCAAGCAAGAGGTCAGCATTAGAAAGCTACCGGGAAGAGAGCCCGGGGAAAGGTGGCCCCAACAAGGCAGTTCTTGGTCTGTTAAGACCCTGGTAACTAAAAAGAATTATCAAGTCAAGGACTTCATATACAGGCTCCGGTTTTAGGAACTAGGTACAGGATAGATCCTTCATCATAGGAACAAGCCAGAAGTTGGTTATTAGAAGTCAGGCAAAAGGTTAATAGCAGACTAGGACATTCTGATCTATTGAAGCTGAGAGTTTCTTGAAAATGTGATGCCTTTATGCATTAAATAAGAATGATTGGGTATCTACTACATTCTAGGGAGTTTAGCATGTTAGCCTGAGTTGGGGTTCAGTGTACCATGGAGTGGGGCCTGCCTGGGGATGGAGACCCAGTGGAAGCTGCAGTGGAGAATAGGAGGCTGAGAGGACAGCCATCATGTGCACAGCCGGTCAGCTCATGAAGTGGAATGGATGATGCATTGTTAGAGTTTGGAACATTCTATGGTAAAACAGACCCAGAAGAAGTTGAATCTGAAAACCCAGAAAACATCATCATGGTAATTTCTTTCAAGGTGCAATGAAGACGAGGTAGGACATGAGAAAAAAGTTATTCGGAAAGAGAGATAAAGTATCAAACACACAGTTCATCTACTTGTCAGATTCTCCAGATACTCATGAAAAATAATTCTTGTGCATCCTTTGGCTGGATGAACTGTTTCATCACACATCCGCTCTACTTCACCAATGCCAGAGTTAAAATTCAGGAGGAAGTTGGAAGTTCTTATCTCTTCCAACTCAATCCAGTCTCACCAAATAGGCAAGAACTAGTCTCTTTTAATTAATTCCACTCAACGTCTTCTGATTTAACATTGAACCCTGGGCTACTGGGAAAAAGAAGTATAGTAAGAAAAGAGGAAAAGGGGGTAGAAAGAAGGATGAAAACAAAGAGATGTCTCATAATCTTCTGTTCACACTGGGGTAAAAGTAGGTCAAACACCTACTCTCCTGTAACCTCCTTCTCTACCTCACTCTTTCTATTTTGAATATCTTGTAATCATAGATATTACTTTTCATAGAGACCCCAAAAGCATTTCCCCAGGGAATGTCAGGGACTCCCTGTATGACCTGTTAATTAAGCTTGACAAGACATAATAAAAGCAAACTTCACAATGACAAATTAGTAGACACACTGTTAGCTCCAGTTTCTTTTTCTCTTAATCTTATTTCTCATGCTGTTGTTCATAGTATTAAATAGAGTCAGAAATTTCTGCTTGGCTTCTGACTGGCCTTAAAAGGAACACATTATTTAACCTCCCTAAATCTCCATTTCCTCTTTTGTAAAATGGAATAATAATACTTGCTGTAATACCTTACTGGGTGATTTTGAGGACCATGTATAAAAATCACAACCAATGGTACAAATACCAATGTAAGATAGCCAGGTCCTTTAATAAATCAGCAGAGTACAGCAAAGCATCTGTAACAGAACTTTGTTCCCGTTGCCAGCACTTGGGCAACTTACTTGTGTTCTAAGTCTTGGTGCTTCTTTACTTGTAAAAAGGGTAGGATGCTATTCATAGTTTCATATGGTTTTAATGAAGATCAAAATAACATTTATACTAAAATATAAGTAGTATATTAATTATGACAAGTCCTAGTAATGTGTCAGAACAGGAGGCTCTCAAGGTCAAACGTGTGCAGATTTATTTTTTCTCATTTATAAAAGTATGAATATGATTTTAAATTAGTATGTGTATATCCGACGCTTTAAAAAATATTTGCATGGAGAATCTGTTGTGAATTCTGTAGCAGAGTCAAATTTAAATAAGACAGTAACTTAAAAAAATAAAACATGGAGCTTAATTACACACCAAAAATAAATGAGTACTTCCTTACATATCTATTGTATGTTTTATTTTTTTAATTAAGACTTTTAGAAAACAGAAAATGTTGTCTATTTTTGTTCATAATTATTCAATATGAGAAAAATGTGGTTTACATACATAGGGACAAGGCTGTAATCAAAGGATCTAGGAAATCGATTATGGCTCCGTTTTACATTGAGATTATTACCATTCAAAAGAGCTCCGTTTTACCTTTTTAAAATAAAAATATTTTACATTTATACTGGTTAAACTCTAATATTCCTTAATCTTTTATTTTCTTTCAAGATAATAGTTGGAGAAACTGCTGTCTTTTGCCTACAACTAGCCACAAGGGATTTTGAAAACCAGGAAAAAACTATTTTAACTGGAGACTGTTGCTATATAAACCCGCTGGTGCGCCGAACTGTCCGATTTCTTGGTATGTGTTCATTAAATTATTTTTAATATTTCTGAAACAGTGTCTGTGTATAAGCTAACCCTTAAAAATGACTCACATTTTAACTGTTTGCAAATATTGTATTTTTTTTTCTTTGAAATGTTTTAATTTGCTTTTAAAAGTAAACATTACACACTGCTTGGGTGATGGTTGTATCAAAATCTCAGACATCACCACTAAAGAACTTACTCATGTAACCAAACACCACCTGGTCCCCTAAAATCTACTGAAATAAAAAATAAACGAAAAATTTTTAAAATAAACATTGCATACTACTTTCTCCGTAATATAGCAAGATCCCACTTTAGGGTGTCATTTCCACATTCCTTTAAGGCAAAAAGAACACCACCTTTGGATGTTTAATATTCTTTAAGAACCAAAAATTACATGATTACTGTGTTTATGAAAATCTTTGGACCGTACTTAGTGGGAGGGTGGTGATAATCCAGGTGGGTTGTTGAACATCACAAAGGATGGAAAAATAACTTGGCAAATAGAAGAAATGTAGCACTCCATGTGCTACTTCTAGGTTGATTTTTATATAAACAAAAACGTATTGAGAATTTTAGTAGAGGACAAGATTCACTAATAATTTAACTTTTAATCTGAAATACTAGCAATAATAAATATATACATGTATGAATTATTGAAAATCATTTTAATTCAGCAGGAACTTAGCCTAGACACATTTTTTTTTAACTGACACAATACAATGCAATATAAATAATTTTTTCCTGGATTTGTCAGATAAAAATAAGTATATCTGTATCTACTAAATGCCATTTAAGATAATTTTTTATTAGTATTAAGAGATGCACTGAAGGTAATGTAACTCTTTAACATAGTTCTCATACTGAAGGGAACTCTTCAACATAGTTCTCATATTGAAGGGATCAAGATGAAGACTTTGAAGATATTATGCATAGATCACCTAATCTATCTATAAACCCATTAAAGACTAGCCAAATGTCATCAGGCTTTTGGATCTCTCTGAAGATGAAAGGCCTTCATATCTGAGACTGTTATTTTTACTGACATCAAGTTTTGTATCTCCAAAGCCCTCATTTATCCCGTTAAAGGGACAACTTTTATATGAAACCCTAAAAGTTATTTTCTTCACATGTATCAATACTGTGTTCTTGACTAATTTCTTTTTGTATAAGTCATTTAATTTTTTAAAAAAGCAATATACAACAATATCTCAGAATTAAAAGTATTTAAAGAAATCGCTGCTTTCCTAAATACTGTTAAGCAAATTACATTGTGCCTATTTAAGTAAAATATTTTTCTGCATTTGCACACATATTTCTAAAGAATATTTGGCTTACAGTATGCTTTTAAGTCTCTGCATGCTTCTTATTATGTGATTTTATAAAATACGAAAGCCTCATTTGTTTCTTGTTCCCTTATGATTTGGATGTTTCTAGCTATAATAAAGTGGAAGCATGTAAGCAAAGCCTCTCTGTATAATAGTACATCATTCTGGGTAGTGACTTTATTCTTTAGGTCAGTGGAGTAGATACACTCAAAGGATCTCACTTTAATAATTGTCTTTATAGTCAACTACAGTATTAGCCTTGGGCCTGGTGCACTGATATTTTAATTCGAAAACATATTTGGGAACTTTAGAGTGTCAAGAGACATTTCCACATTCTTATCAAATATTTCTGTTACCAACAGGAAAACCCATTGCACCAAACAGCCTAGATTTCAAATGTGTACAAATGAAGACTTGTAATTTAGGTTCCCATGATTGGCCATGAGATTTTGGAAGGAGAAGTTTTGTTGAGCTCGGTTCTCTTTAATTTCTCTGCCTCTCTCAAATTTCTGATTTTGATAACCTTTACTTTGTATGATTCATAGAAGGCTGGTGAGATGTTAAAAAAAGGGCTTCTTACTGTTTTCTTTTAGAATTTTTAGATAAAGAGAGAACTAATATCTTTGTTTCATTTCCATTTGTATATACATAGAGTTTTGCTGTGTGGGGGTTTTTGTATGTAAACCTTTTGTAATCTTATATAATATTTTAAAAATTTAAAAGAACAGCTATCCATCTAATACTGGAAAATTATTTGATCTAGTACAACTTTTATGGTGATATACTATACAACAGCTAATAATGATGAAAAGGCTTGGGAAACAAACAATCCAGAAATATATGACTAAAAAGAAAAACATCTAATTATTATAACATAAGTATATGACATTTTAATAAATCAATACTTTTAGAAGTATTAATTTGGGATAGTTTTAAAAGGTCCTGTTGGATTTTATTCCCAAAATTATAAAAGGATGAATTTCTTTTCATTGGTACCACATCCTTAAAGATTGTAGCTGTAAGTTTAATTTAAATTAATGCCAAAAATTGTTTTGCCTGTATAATAGAAAAATAAGTTTTAACAATAATGACCAATGACTTTGAATTTAGAAAATGTTTTTAGTATTCAAGTAAATTGGGAAGTTCCTTAGCAAAGGAGGAAAAAATATCTACACACTTAGTTCTATACCTTCAGGTAACCAAAGTAAATAAATTTTAAAACTGTAAAAATAATTAATAGCCTATAATTTTGATTGCCTTATTTACTAAATAGCCCACATTGGATCAGTTGAAAGTCAATCCATAAAAGATAAGGTAGAAATAAATTACTAGCTGTTCTATGACTTTAACAAAATGTGTTTCTGAAGGCAATGTGGAGACTGCTCTGAAAGCATTCTGCTTTACTTAAGATTTTCCATATTTAAATGAAAACCGATGGCGCTGGATTTACTGCTAATTGGCACCTCCAGCAGCGTTAACATCAGTCTCAATGGGAGTAAGAGCATAATCAAAGAGAGACAACTGCTTTGCTTTATGTTAGTGCGATTAAAAAAAAATTCAAAAATAGGGGAAAAAATAAAATTGCTGACATTAGTAGAGCATGATAGACTATACCCTCTCAAGGAACACATGACTCCATGAAACAACTGCATTACCCGGAATCTGAGAAGACATGTTCTTATTTTATCTTATGTCTTATAAACCTGCCATGCACAAAAACCATGTAGTAGTAGCGCAATTACCACTTTCACCACTCCAGAAAGCCAAGGAAAGAACTGGAGAGGAATGAAATGAAAGGAACTATGTATACGTATGGAATATTTATAGTTTCTAAGATATTTCCATTTTGGTTTATTATAAACTGAAATTCACACACACACACACACACACACACACACACACATAAAGCAAGAAGTTAAAATTATTTGTTTTCTTCCCCAGGAATTTATACATTTGGACTGTTTGCTACAGATATCTTTGTAAATGCTGGACAAGTAGTCACAGGAAATCTGGCCCCACATTTCCTTGCCCTGTGTAAGCCCAATTATACAGCACTTGGATGTCAACAGTATACACAGTTCATCAGTGGGGAAGAGGCCTGTACTGGCAACCCAGATCTCATCATGAGAGCACGGAAAACCTTTCCATCCAAAGAAGCAGCTCTCAGTGTCTATGCAGCTATGTATCTGACCGTAAGTAAGGATTATACATTTGTTGTCTTAGTCTGTATTACTGTTAATTTTTCCAGTGTAGAAATTCTTTTTCCCTGCCATAATGAAAGTCACTTAAAGCACATTCATATATTTCTGTAGGCCATTTAATCTATTTTTAATAATAGCTGTTGGTATTCTGAACAAAATTAAGACAGTTGTCTCTCATGAGATTATGTGTGGGTAGTTGGTTGTATTAAAAAATGTAGCCATTAGCATTTCTATTTGAGAATATGTTTGTCTTTATATTAAATAGGACTTAGTGGAAACAAATTTGTTCTGTAGCATTCCCCATGAACTTGTAATAGCATGATTAAGAGAACTACCTAGGCCTCTTAGCTGCCTATCCAAGCTCTCATAGGCCCTGCTGGGGGTGAAAGGGCCCCCTTTTTTTTTCTAGAAAGCACTATTGTTACTGGCAACTGTATCATCATCATATCTCAATTAGCATTTAATGTTTTCTCATAGAACTAACCAAGGAGTCCTTAGAAATTCTATTTTTTCCTTTAATCTTAAGTATTGGCCATCATCTTTGTGGCAAGAGCCAGGCCCCCATGCAGCTATCCTAGGACCTTTAGTTAGAAGTGAGTGAGTGCATTACCCATATACAGAAGGGGAAAGAAGGGCAGCCTTGGCAGGCAGCTCTTGTCCCCAGCAATGGTACTATCAACCTCTCCCTCCTCACAAGGATGTGCTTTGCAGCTCAGGAGGTGGACTCCAAAAGTGTTCCCTGTAAGCTTTTCCACAAACCTCTATAAGGTCAGAATTTTTTTTTTTTTTTTTTTTTTGCCAGAGTCTCGCTCTGTTGCCCAAGCTGGAGTACAGTGGCACCATCTCAGCTCACTGCAAGCTCCGCCTCCCGGGTTCATGCCATTCTCCTGCCTCAGCCTCCCGAGTAGCTGGGACTACAGGCGCCCGCCACCACGCCTGGCTAATTTTTGTATTTTTAGTAGAGACGGGGTTTCACCGTGTTATCCAGGATGGTCTCAAACTTTAGACCTCAAGTGATCCACCCACCTTGGCCTCCCAAAGTGCTGGGATTACAGGCGTTAGCTGCTGCACCCGGCCAGACCAGAGAATTTAAATGTCTTCTGGGGTTCTCCTTCCCAGTGGTGCTAAATCTACTTCCTTCCAATTTCAGCTCATTAACTAGAGATCTGTAAAGTCTCAGGACCAATTTGAAACCAAATTTGATTATTTCTAATGATTTGGAAAAACTTGGAATTATTTTTCTTCGCTCAGAGAGCTATTTGATAATGGAAATGTTTTCCATACAATCTTGTTATTTCTAAAGGCAGAGAGAATATATGGAATACCGTGTGACATCGCTACTTGAGATTCAAATAAAGATTACTAAATAGAAGGACAATTTAGGAAGAGAAATGTAACGTTATGCATAACATTTAGAATGACAGGATAACTTTAGAACCATAGATTATACATTTTAACATTTTTAAAGTTTTTAAGCCAAGTTAATTCCGTCCCTCACTGCCTGGACATTTTAAAACTCCCATCCTGAAACTTTTTATGGAGTCAAGGATTCTTTCCTTAATCCTATCCTATTTATTTTCTCTTCTACCGCTTCCTAACTTTTCTAAAGTTTGTCCGTTACAACTCTCTCCTTGCCATCCCACTGTGCCCCCAAAGTCTGTTATTCTAATTTCCCCTGTTTCCTTTAGCCCATTAGCCTTGCTTTTTCTTGCACATTCTAAGGTACCTCTGGGCCTGATATGAAGTATGGTAACTCATGCATATTCTTTCCTATTAAAGAAATTGCTTGACTCTATGTTTCACCTCTACTAGAATATGAAGCCCTCAGCCTTAAAACAGGGATTGAAACTTGAGTGAATCAAAAGTCACAAAATCCTTTTCACTCATTGCCATCACATCTGAATTTGATGTTTATGTTTGTATCTGGGTGTGAATTGCAGATATATCTGTGATAAATACATGGCCAAGTCAATGATGGGAGACAAATTCGAGAATACTCTCTGACCCCAAATATTCTGATACAAATATTTTAATACTAATAGATATTAGATTCAGATGGGATGTGGTGGCTCATACCTGTAATACTAGCACTGTGGGAGACCACAAGGCAGAAAGATCACTTTGGAATTTGAGACCAGCCTAGGCAACCTAGGAGACCCCATCTTTACAAAAACAGAGAGAGAGGGAAAAGAAAAACAAAGCAAAACCTCAGCCAGGTGTGGTGCCGCATGCCTGTAGTCCCAGCTACATGAGAGGCCAAGACGGGAGAATCTCTTGAGTCCAGGAGCTTGAGGTTACAGTGAGCTATGATCACTCAACTACATTTCAGCCTGGGTAACAAAGGAAGACTCTGTCTCTAAAAAAATAAATAAATAAAGATTTAAAACACAGTACATGTTAGATTTTGCTGTGTAACCAATGTTTGCCAGTGGTGTTGATTGTGCTGCTATAATAATATACTTGGCCCTTGTATTCTGGCAAAGTAGTGTTTCAAAGGCATTGCTACAGGAGAAAGTATTATTGTTTATGCACTAGAAAAATCTTAACATCTTGTCTTGCTACAATCTACTTGCCGCCAGCATGCATTTGTTTTATAAACTTCTGAATTATAAATCATACTGTTCTGTAATAAAAATTGGAAATATTAATGATAATAATTATCATAGCAAACATTTGTTGAACATTTACCATGTGTCAGGCACCAATTGCTTCACTTTTACTAACTTAGTTAATACTTTACTAATTCCTTTGTATTTTTTAAGTTATTTATCATAATTATTATTTATGCAATAATTGATTATTTGTGATACTTTATTGAATTCTCGTAACATTTTCTTAAAGTATGTGATATTATTTTACCTATTTTATAAATGAAGAGACTCAAAAAGTAAAGTAACTTTCTCAGATCCATAGAACCACAAATTTTTCTGGTGACAATGTTCCTGAATGTTCCGGAGAAGGAAACATTAGATTATTTTAGCTCTAGTGTGTGTATCTACAGCTGAATTCTTTCCTGCATAATACCAGCGTCCAGTAAACTGTAAGGCCAAGGGTGCAGATGGTAGATTCATTTAGAGCAAAATCCCTTAACAGACACTCCAGCACTGGGAAATCTTCTACCGTTAAACACTGGTTCAGACTACAAACTAGGACTCCTGCTTGTAATTACATTGATGAGTACTTCTATCTTTTTAACAATAGATTCTGTCCTCTGCTATTTCTCTGTCTTACCCCACCACCCCTTTGTGTGTGTGTAAGTGTGGGTGGCTGCTATGGCAACTCTGAATATAACTCCTGCTGCACATGTCAGCCTTATAGGCAGGTTTTGCTGTTGTATTTGAACTTACATACAAATATCTGTTTTCCCACTTTCACTAGAGGCACCTTGGGAAAACTTGATTGTAGGAATGTTGGGGTGTTTCAAACTAATGCAGTCTCATGAAATGCTTACCAGAATGTTGATGGGTAGTAAATAGTAGAAAACAGCCATATATTCAGTATCCTCTGTGGAAACGGCCTTATGGCTGTATTTAGTTCAAGGCATATTTATTTAATTTGGTGTTGGTGCTATAAACATACATAAATGCATAAATAAAAATCAATGAGCCCTGTTATGGAGTATGTAAATAATAACTGAGAAATATGTTTCTGATGCCTCTTTATGTGGATTCGGAAATAAAACTAAGGAATTTGAACTCTCCCTTAACATCTGACTTTAATTAAGCTTTTGGGGCTAAGTTGATCGTGGAGGTTTATTTTGCTTTACTGAGAACTTTCAGGAATAGTAATAATAATAATAAGCTCTATTCCTATTTTTGTAAGTACTGTTGGTTCTCCAGGAAAAAAAAAAATTGTGAGAGTTATTTAACCCTCAGTCATCAAATTTACAATTCAGTGTTCAGTGACATTAAAATGTTTACATTTACCTTTGTGGTATTTCTTTTCATATAAATGGTTACAGCTTTTTTTTTCAATTAAAAGAAAATGAACATCAAGGTTGAGAATGAAAAATTACGTTTGGTGAATTTCCAGTTAACCTCATAAATTTTTGAAATAGGCAGACATGAAATGACCTCCTTGGGTCACTTCCAATTCTGACCTTAGATTTTTGAAAATGTCAAGAAAAAAGGGTCAGTTATATGTATTGGCCTCTGTTTCTGCTATGTGTTGCTGCATTATAAACCACCCTAGACCTTAAAACAACAACAATCTGTTACTGTCAGGATATGTAGGGTTGACTTGTGGTTTTCCTGCTAGTCCATCCTGGCTTCTCTCATGGGACACATTCAGCTAATTCAGAGATCTGGGGTTTGGGCTCAGCCAAGGCAGCACAAATAGCTGGGCCTCTCTCCTTCTCAAGAGGTCTTTCTCACAAGGGTCATCTTCCCTGATGGCATCTCAGAGCTGCCTTCCAATACGGTAATGTCCCAAGCTGCAGGGTACCTTGAGACTTAGGTACTTAAGCTTGTTACACATCTCTGTCACTGTATTTTATTGCCAGATAAATCACAGGGCCAGCCCAGATTGTTGGGAGTAGAGAAGTAGATTCCACCTAGAGATGGGAGGTGCAGCAAAGTCATATTGTAATGAGGAGGATATACTGGGATGGGAAGAATTTGTGGCATTAAACAATTTATCCCAGTCTTTTCCCAGAATACTGGTAGAAACTCTAAAATATCATTCCCTCTCTCCCCCTCCCCATTGGTGGCCAGTCGTTGGCATTATCCCACTCTCACGTCCCACACAGTCATCTTTTATAATAAGCTCACAAAGTCCCATGCACCAACAACCACTGCTCACAGGCTACTGAGACAAGGGTTAAATAAACACAACCCACTAGTGTCTATTTGCCCCCCTCTTCTTTTGAGACTTATTACCTAATTCTGTACAAGAACATGAGCAAGCCCTCACTCGGAGGTATAAGAATTCAGGGAGTGCATGTCAGTTTACTTGTAGCAGGTGATTTCATGAGACTGGTCAGTGATTGTATT